TTGGCGGAGGAGCAACCAAGCCCAGTCAGATGAGAAATATAATAAAGTTTTATCGCGCCAGAGGAATTGGTGGACGAGTGTACAGACATTACCACGCCTTCTCCTGGACAGGATTGCAGAAGAAGTGGATCCTAGACCGTGCAGTCAACCACGTGAAAGCCGGTTATCCAGCCATTATCGGTGTCTGGGTGAAGGGTAAAAAGAAGAAAGCCATGCACTATCCTGTCGTAACCCGCTACATGGAGAGGTACAGAAAATATAAGAAGTGCTTTCTGTGGTGGTGCAAGACAAAAACATCTTGGCAAAAGTACTTCTACCTCCACATGGGCTGGGGAGGTCAAGATAATGGATGGTATAGAGCTTCTAAGGCCTTCGCAGCCTTCGCCGCCAGAAAACATTGAGATTGACATAGTGGCCAATACTGAGAACTGCAGACGATCAAACTAGCGTTAAAGTAATGACAAATCACTAAGAATGGATCAATACTGAGTACATAAGCAATTTAGACCGGTAAAATACAAGTTAGTTGTACGAGTGGGCAAATGATATAAAATTAAAAGGATTGATTAATGAATAACTTATAAAGAATTAAGAAATGCAATGAAAACGCTAAGATCAACACACAGACCACTTCTGAGATTTGATGAATATTTACGAGATAACTAAGCAGCTATAACCCATTGTTCAAATAGTTTAAGGTCATTGTACGAGTGGATAAGCAAATAAAATGGAAACCGAATGAAATAATAATGAATAAAGGATTAAAGGATGCATGAATTGCAAAGTTTTGGGCTGTTGTCTTGCTCAATACCTGGGAATCTTTTTGTTTTGTAACCGGAGTTTAATGTATCGAAAAACAAATTCCAGTTCGTCAGAAAAGGAGACCATATAATTTAAAAAGGGATCTAATAACAGTATAGAAACCAATTCTAACTTACTGGCGTATTTTCTTGTCGGCTCATCTTTATTCAGTGCACCATGATGTTTGGAGTTCAGCTTCTTCTGCTCGTGGAAGTGAACGGCCACGATATGACTGGTTGCCATTGCAATAAAGCCTTGCATTCAGGTTTGTCGCTTCTATAAAAGCCACACAATGTCTTACCATCGTTCCTTCTGCGTTTAAAGTTCGTTAAAGCAGGAATTTACAAATTTAGACTCAAGATACGTATGTGCAGTGTAGGAACACTCTTGGCCTTGACCACTCTCATTTGAGAGACCGCTGGAGAGCGGGCTCAACTATATAGGAAAAATAAGAACTTTTTTCTGAATTGCCAAATACCTGCTCTAATCAGTAGTATTTGCCCAAACATTCTAAAATGATGGGGTTTGTTTTTTTAATTAGATGAATATTTCTACAATCGTTCCTAGTTTGTCCCTCGTTAATTTGAAAGAAATAAAAAGTGTTACAGCAATTAACTCTTTTCATGTAATTAGTATATTGTTTCAGATAGAATACACTAAATATAGAAAAAATAATTACAAATTAACTGTTATAAATCTCGCGTTCTGACTGGTTGTGAGCGCGTGCTTAATGAGAGCACACAGCAAGCGCGTGCACTTTTAGTTGCGTCATTCCTATCTCAAATAACGGTTATTGTAATTTTTATATTATAAAAGAAATAGAATCTTGCTTGCTGTGCTGTGTGGAGTCATAAAGCACTTCAGGGATCGGCAGAAAACTCGAGAAGTGTCGAGAAGCACTGAGCTACGCGTCGTGTACTTCTCTCGTGTTCTGCCAACCCCCGCGTGCTTTAACTGCACACAGAAYGTGCGCGCTTTTTTTATTTCTTCATTATTAATTCTATTTTAGACAATGTCTCTATAACCCACAATGCACTTCGTTCTTGGAATGCACTATTCAGTATTGAACCTTTTTTGAAATATATACCAAATGAATATATGGGAAATACATATACCTATTTATGAACAAGACCTTATATTACTTTTCAGTGTATGTATTACAAGAAGGCTCAGTTTTTCAATGGTATACATATATCAATTAAAAGCAGGAATGCTTTTGTTGGTATTATAAAATAAAGAATAAGTGAAAAAATGAGAAAAAGAAAGAGATTAAAGATGAAAAGAGAGTAAAGGGACAAAAAGGGTTCCCAGCTAGCAGGGTCTCCCTCATTAAGAGATGAAAATTGAAAAAAAGGAAAGTATGAATGAACAAGAGAGAATAAAATGAATGATTAAATTAAGAGACTTCCAATTATTATTAGCAAATAAATGGAAGTTTGAAGTTATCACCTTGGTTAGTATAATTTTAGAATTCAATACAAGGTTTCCCTGAGATTATATTCACTGCTTGAGTGATGATTATACGTTTTTTCAAAGTTTGTATTATAAAATTTCCCAAACGTTTTTTAAAAATCCTGAATCTTTTCTCTAATTTATTCAATTCTAAAATTACACTAGGAGAATTATTCAACTCAGGATTTTCAATGAAAATTCAATGGTGAATATTAACCTCGCCGCTTGAAGGCTCGTGGCTCAGTAAATATTCACTTTGTCTGTGACGAACGATTGCTAAATATTCTTCCCCCATTGTGTAAATCAGTGCAATACTGATTGAATCATATTTGAGTATTTGATATTTATATCTACATTACAAATCGTAGTAGCATAAATGCAAAAACATCTTCAAAAACCATCGATGTTAAACATAAAAATAAAGATATCCATGGTATATATATTATTGAATATATGATTACAAACAAATATATATAATTCTCGTTATTATTCATCCTTTTTGATTTGACCATCTTAAATTTTGTCAGTAAAATATTGTCACCAAAAATAACCCCACCCCTCCCCTCTAAAAATTATCCTTCCCCACCCTAATGTAGAAAGTGTTGTGTGCTGAATACATTTAAATCACTCATAAAAAGATCCCTGAAATCTTTTATAAGATTGGCCCCTTTATAAAATACGACCCTTAAAAATATTTACCCTCCCCTCCCTTCCCACTAAAAAGATTTACTCTATATTCATTTGTCTTCTCATGTGCAACTATTAAACCTATTAATGGTACTCAAGGGAATGAAATGTGGTCTGTAATGGGAAAACAGTGGATTAGGCCTAATATTGTGGATTGATTGGAGTTTGATAGGAAAAAATAAAAGAATTGACACAATTCCATTGAGAAAAGTGTGATTTCGTTTGTTTTTTGCCTGGTCGTCCTGCAGCCAAGATAATTTTGAAAAGGTCTCTGTTTTGGTTTGTCACAAAATAGGCGACTTGCACTAAGAGGTCACGTGATCAAATCGGCTATTGTGGCTGGCATTCTACAGGAGTGCAGCCGACGAAACAAGCCTAAACACTTCTTAGGTCTTCACATCGTAGCACAAAAAAATATCATATTTTTTCTCTTCTTGGCGAGTTAATAGCAAAAATCTACTTTAGATATCTACTAAGAATATATTTCTTGCAAGAAAAGGGGATTTTTATAGTCATTTAGTGCGCTAGCTTACCTTTTATCACCCAAAAAAACTACCCGAATCTGCCTTTTTTTTTTTTTTACATTCTCGCATAGCTAAAAACCTGTAGAATGCCAGCCACAATGGCCGATTTGATCATGTGACCTCTTAGTGCAAGTCGCCTATTGCTTCTCTACTCTGGTGCTTTTGTCAAGCACTATTATATTATGTATAGTAATAGCTTTCGTTCAGATGAGTCGGCTATTCTTGAGGTAATGAATGACTGTGGTATAGACGAATGAATACTGCCCAAAATTGGCTACCAGTTGCATCCTCTGGCGACGAAGTTGAACAAGAGTCCGATGAATGTTTATACGCTGTGGATCAACAAGAGGACACCAGTTTAAAATCACTTTTTGAAACTTCGCAAAAGGTTTAAAATTTTATCGAATCCTGAAACAACATGGCTAACTCAAAGATCGAATTGGAATTTGTCGCGTTGAATTTTGAGGAGGGGGGAAAACCAGAGAACCCCTGAATCAAGTGAGAGGTCTAACAAACTCTACTCACATGTGATGCCGAGTACAGGAATTTAACACGAGACCCCAGGGGAGATGCAAGCGCACTACTGCTACACCACTCTTGGCCCTTAAAAGTGTCATCTTTTATTTCACAACATGTGGCAAAACTGTTATCACTTTCTATCTCCTAAACCTCTCATTCCTCACCGCAAATCCAAATATTCTATATAGGGTTATACAGCAGCCATGTAGCAGAACAAAATCAATAGGGATTTCTCGTTTGAGAAATGAAATCTCGAGCTCTTGCCATTCAAAATAATGCATTGTTCCTTTCATACAACGTGGCTACCTAGAAAACCATTTATAGGTTGCCAGAGCATTAATTTATTGGTAGGAATAAAATAATGTACCATATACGACGTTCCTAACCCCAGTTTAAAAGTCATAATCGAATCACAGCACTATGTATATCTTGATCCTTTTGAGATTTAATGCAATTTTGAAAATTTTATTCCGTAGATCCTTCGTGCCATGCTAGAATTTTAATATCTTGAACATGGCATTTTTTAGCAGAAAAAAGGATGATGAGATTTTCCACAAAAAGAAAGGGCTTTTCTAACCTGATTGTTTTGTATACAGGCGATCATTAGATCTGTTAGTATTATAACACCAGTTCTCCCAACACCGGCTGTACAGTGTACGACTACTGGAGGCTTCTCTTCACCGTGTGGTAGGCTGCTGTTGGTCAGATGCCGTAACGATTCCATTTGATCGAGGAATTCTAGAAACAAAGAAAAAACAGTTACTACAAAAACATTTGTGGGTATACGAAATATTTCCAGTTGTCTTAAAAGATGAGATTATAGAAGGCGTAGGAAGGGGTAGCCTCCTTTGCAGCCGATCTTTGCGTGACGACCCTAAAAACAGCTGCAAAGGAGGCTAAGGAAGGGGGGGATCCCCCAAAGTTTGACTAARAATGGCAAATTTTATTTTAATTCCTATTTTGTTGGTCTGCCTGTGGATTTAGCGAGAATTTTCGCGCCACAACGCGTGTGCGTTGGTACTCTCGCTACGCCACTGAGATAATGTAGGCATAAAGTTTAATTTATATAGGCGAAGAATCTAATGCCCTGTCAACACGATACCAATGCAAATGCAAATGTAAGAGTAAGCGCAAGCAAAAAGGAACGGCAATTTAAAATGTGATTTAAATTTTTTTTAGCGTGAATATGTGTTTGCACTAATTCAAATTTAATTGCAGATTCGACTTTAACCGCCGCCAGTTATATTGCTAAAAGCGTCGGTCTGTTGTGCAGGAGGTCGTGGTTCAAGCCTAGGCCAGACCAACATTCAGGGTCTTAAAGTAACTGAGGACAAGGTGCTGCCTTTGTAATTACATCTGCAAATGGTTAGTCCCGTCCCAAATCAACTAAAGACGTTAAAAGAGGACCACCAGTTTTTGTATCAGTGACGTTACACGAAAAATATTACTTATGTTTGCGCTAATATTTGCGCTTGCATTGGCTTTTCTCTGTGAAGCAGGATCAACAGAATTTGTAAAAGAATAAAACAAAGAGAAAGAACATGACAGCAAGGATATAAAATAAAACTTTGAATAAAAATAACAATACCTAGGAAGTTGGTAGGGTCATCTGGTATCTTGTGGTCTGGCCAATCAGTAAACTGCAAGTGATAAAGAGTTCGTTCTTGTTTCGAAGGTACATGGCGTAGCTTCATGAGCCGGATTTTGTATGGAGAAGCGTCTTGTATATGTTCAGTAACTATTTGACAGTGCCCGTAGGTTTCTTGTCGACCGACTTCTTCCGGCCAGTAACGCATGCAGTTTGAACCACTTGTCACCTAGAGAAGATGAATCAAAGATTCAGGTTAGGGATGTCTCTGCAATATCATCTGTATTTTCAAAGTTACTGACACGCATACTGTTTCCAAATCTAAATGTTTTTTCCAGGAAGAGTACATGGTGGTAGTGATTCTGTGCTGGTAATGTAGTAACATGGTGATGGTGTGGTGGTGGTGTGGTGGTGATGGTGGTGTGGTGGTGGTAATGATGAACAAAAAGGACAACAAAAGACAACAACAAAAAAGTTACGAAAATCCCGATGTCACGAAAATAACTTACTTTTTCTTCGGTTGCCATGACGACCAGACGAACATTTTGCTCCCAGACCATCTGCCAGAAATCATTTACTGTTTTGTCCATGGGGCCCTGGGAAGCGATGTACTTGTACAAAGTTCGACCTATCTTCATCTAAAGACAATTTTTGTTTTGTTATAATGCTGCACAATTAGACTGCTTCTTATTAACACGTGCAGATTAATGAATTATTTATTTCTAGTATTTAGAAGAGCAATAAACCAAGAACTAAGAATCGTCGTCACGAAGAAGTAGGTTTTAGTGGACGTCGATCAAGGCGTTTCCATGACATTCCATAGGCACGTGCCCTTGAAAACAATGTGTTTTCCCGCCAACAATGCCGTGGAAACACTTCCATTGACGTCCACTAAAGCCATTATAGTTGTGAAGGCAAAATTGTAGGATTTCGCGCATGTGACTTGATGCGTTAGATACCAGTTGGGTATTTCAAAAATGATAAGTTATTTACGATAAGTAAATGATTCAAAGCCCTACATACCTTGATATGGTTTGCATTGATATAATCATTGTTAAATACGTTATTACGAGGATTCAAATGTACCCTCGTTTCCTGCGAAATAAAAAAAAATCAAATTTTTAAGTCTATTTACTTCTTTTTTTACTTTATTATATAAAACAGTATAATGCTTCTACAACTAGTACAAAGAATCCGTGGATTACCGTGTCCTGACTTTGATCAGCGAAGAGGAAGTTTCAGGGTATAGACAAAATTGAAAGTTATTGAGCGAAAGGAAAACGCGCCTGGCATGCTTGAGAGATGGGCGGGAAAAAGCTACGTCGCGAATAGGATATGTTCCCATCATGCTTCTGGATGGTCAGCGGTTTGTTGCCTTGGCAACGACAGAATAATTTCAAAGTTATCAAGATCGTTCGGATGGTACCTCATAGGGAAGAATATCGTTGTATCGATTTTTAGTTTCGTTTGTGAGTAAACTACCAGTCGATACGGATAGATTCTGCAAAAAGAAATATATAAATCATTAATTAAAATGATCCAGTCATAACATGAGTTAGCGGTTGCGCATAAATATGGATACAATAGTAAAAAATCTTATTCTCAAGAGAATGACACCTGTTTTGAAATGGGAAAACATTACTCCCAAGCCGAACGGACTAACGTCCTAAACCATGTCAGTTCAGTTACAAACTTTTTACATGGTGTGTTTAAGTTTCCTTCTCATTATTCACTTATAGAACAGTTTTCGTACGACTGTGAAAAAGTCCTATTCGTGCCTTACCGCGACCGTGATGTTTTCTAGAATTTTGATTGGGGATTTTTTTCTCGCGCAATGTGAGTGGTCTGACAGTACCTTGATTTTGGCGTGACCGTGTCCGCGCCGTGTTCATACCGTGTTTCGGGCATTTGATTGGATAGAGGGTATTAGAGAATATAGATTCTCGAGATATGTGATTAGGCTGACATAAGCCTCGACGTGTTATGACCGTGTTCGTGCCGTGATCTTTTCACACTCATGCGAAAACTGCTCTATGTATTCAATACACCCACACAGTACCAAACTATTACCCATAGTAGTAATCATTAGAAAAGTGAGGTAGAGAAAAGCACAATGTACGAGAGAAGAACTTACCTCGCTTCGCCTTCCGATTTTCTGAAATTCTGTAAACACTTGGCCTTCAGCGAGGTTCTTTTTCAGTTCTTTAAGCTGCAAATAAGAAGAAAAAATACATTTGAAAGAATTGACAAACAAACAAAAAAAAAAAAAAAAAAAAAAAAGAAAAAAACAACAATCAACTAAGAATGAGCGAGCGCGCGAGCAAGCAAGCGAGGAGCAGGCTTAGCTCAGTTCGTTTGTATGCGGCCTTCGGAGCCAGTTGGAGATCCTCGAATTCGCTTCAATCCTACGGATTTCCAATTCTGTTTCGACTTCTCTCTAATCCGTGTAGCTTCAGCTTTGAATACTCAGAACACTAATGGAGAGAGGGGGCAAAGAGCGCAACGTCGGCTTCCTGGGTTACCTATAGCGAGTGAACAAATGTTCTAGTTGAACTAGAACCATTGGTTCAACTTGTGTTTATCTCACCTGTTCATTCCTAGATAACTGTTCATCGACTTCATCTTCTTGTTGCCAATTATCTTCAGAGAAATCAGAGTCTGTTGAAGTACAATACCCGCTGGTTCGTTTAGTGTTGAAGTTGCTCCAGATACCACCCACCTCCTCCAAGTTCAACGACGTTGGACGAACTGGCCTAGGGAAACCAATAAAGATCGCGTCAATGATATCCACTTCTCAAGTAATACTTATGTAGTCCACTCTCCACTCTCCTCTGGGGTCTCGGGGTTGATTCTCAGACTCGTTATCACATGTGAGTAGAGTTTGTTAGGTCTCCCATTTGATTTTAAGGTATTTCTCCAGGTTTGCCGCCCCCCCCCCCCCCTCCCCCCCCCCCCCCCCCCCGTAAAACCACACAATAAATTCTAATTTGATCTTTGAGTTAGCCGTGTTCTGACTTTTATCAGTCCAGAGTTTTTTTCAGGTTTTGATCTGTGAGTTAACCGTGCACTGACTTTAATCTTGTTGTTTCATGGTACGATAAAATTTGACGCCTTTATTTACTGGCTTTGTCCAACAAATTCGATGCACTTACTTGATTTGTTCTTGGGTTTCTAAATGCCCATTACTCGATGCACTCCGTTCCGTAAAATCCGGAGTCCTTTCCATCATCATGTCACCGCTATCTTCCGTTTCTACCAAGCTATCCAATGACTGTCCATAGTTGAAAAACTCGCTAGAGTTCAAGGTAGGCGGATGGCCAGAGTCAACTGAAAGCGAGCTTCCTATCCCTAACGAAGATCCTGTATTCTTTTGGACAAACCCCTCGGAATGACCTTGTATTGGACGCTGGTTGATGTCAGTGGCTGTTAAATCTACAGACTTTGGTCTATCGAGGATGTGATTGGGCGATTCTGAATGTTTGGGTTTGATTTCGGGTAAGAGAGACGACGCTGGTCTTTTATTGTTAGTTTTGGAGTTATTTCTCATGACTACCGGCTCGATGTTGAAGTTGGATGCGAAATCTTCGTCTCCGTTGACAATGGCATCCTCATCGTCATCAGCCTCATTGTCTTCAAACAGAGGGTTGATGATACCACTTTCTGGAAGGTAAAAATAAGTTCCTGAAACCCCTCGAAAGAAAAGAAAAATGGAATGGAAAAAAGAGAGGAGAGAGGAGAAAAAAACGTGATGTCGTTAATCACAACCGCAAGTATGGACCCTAGTATATGATGTCAAAGGAGCTCAATTTGGAAGACAAAACAAGAGAATTTCAATCTCCTGAGAATTGGAAACCTATTGTAAGGTCCTTCAAATTGAGCTGCATTCCGACGTGCTGCAAGGGGTGTATAGTAGTGGCACAGCAGCAACAGGGTTGAACTGAAAGCATGCTAAGCGCCTCTGGAAAGAAAATGAAAGGAAAGAAATGAAAATGAAAGGGATGTAAGGGAAAGGAAAGAGAAATAGAAGGAGTAGAAAGGAGAAGTAAGGAAAGGAAAGGAAAGGAAA